CCCTCTGCCATTGGCTGAGCAAAGTGGTGGCAGTGGGGGTTGGGGAGGGCATTGCCAACAGGTTTCCCATCGGTCTAGGTATGAAGAGAAAGAGAAGGTTAACAGGAAAGATGGAGCTGATGTGACTGAGGGGTTGGACATGCAATACTGGGCATGCTGGCTGAGCGGCCTGAGATGCCCAGGGCCATAGAAAAACTGGGATTTGCTGACAAACGTGGGGCCCCATGAGAGGGGAGCCTGCAGTGGGAGGAGGGGAGGGCAACCCACAGGGGTGGCCAGGGAGTTGGGTGGTGACCAGGCAGTTACCGGTGGGGAGGACGCAGTGAGGGCAGGAGGAGGCCCGAGGACTTGGCAAAGCTCCAGCTCGAATGGATGAACCTCAGGTTCTGTTTCAGTTTGTCAGGTCTTTTCTTTGCACTGGTTTTCTCCTTGGCTGACTTCTCTTGAGGCAAAGGTTTGATTTGTTTTGGGGTTTTCTTGTTTTTTTTTAATTCTCCTTTTCAGCTAGTCTGGAAATTATATAGTCTGTCTCTTATGATGCAGGGTTTGTCAGCATTGGCACTGCTGTCTGGGCCTGGGGCATTCAGTGTTGGGAACCATCCTGGGCACTGTGGGGGGTTGAACATCTCTGGCCTACACCTACCAGATGCCATTGGCCTCTCCCCCTGAAGTGGTGCCAACCAAACATGTCTCCAGACATTTTTCATTGACTAGTGTCCCTTGACCACCAGCTTCCATCTCCCCTATTTTTGACTGTGGTTCTACCTTCTTTTTCTCATTCTTACACTTTTTTTGTATGTGTGAAATGTGTAACAAAGAGTCTGTAAATAGCTATGTGATTTGATGCAGAGCAGTGAGAGGTGTAACTGTCACCATTCTTCCTGCTTTGGCTGTCTTGTGAATGCTGCACCTCATTGCGCCTGTGCCTGACATGTCACTGCATTGCTTTTGTTTATGGTGTTTGTACCTTCCTATGTTTGTACCTTCCTGTGTCCCTAAGTCACATGACACTGAGATCCAGAGCAGAGAATATGCACAGTCATGATTGAGTGAAGGGACAGGTGGCCCAAGGTGCCGCTGCAGGAGGAGCTGTGCCCAGTGGGCCCGGGGCCACTGGATGTCAGCTCACAGGGAGTCCCTGATGACTCGAGGTGCCATAAGACAGTGCAAGGAGACAGTGCTCTATCACCTTTTGATTCTTGGGCCACTAGGTATGGCCTGTTCTGTCCTCACTGGGAGTTAGTCTTTGTTCTGGAACTTCCCAGAGACGTGCCTTGGGATGGGGCTCTTGTCACCTAGCATCAGGCACCTGGAATATTCTAGTCCTGGGGAGTTCCCTTTGCATCATTCCATGGAGTGTCTCATTGTTTATTTGGATTTCTCCTGCTAGAACTCTCATTATTTTGAAGATTCTTCCTCTGATTCCAATCTAATTTCCTTTGTTCTTGTTTTGCATATCCTTTTTGGTTGTTCCTTCTGCAGGATTTCTACAACTTTATTTTCCATCTGCTTTTAATCTACAAGAGCTCAAAAAGAGAACAAAAATGGTTCTTCAGACATTCCTTTTTAGTAGTATTCTGTTCTTGTTTCATAGATACAATCTCTTTCCTCTGAGAATATCTAGACTGTGTTTTGTAAGTTCTCGTCTCGCTGTAGAATCAATTTCCCTAAGTTGTTTTTTTTTCTGTTTGGGTCTGTTTTCCATACTGGATACCTCCTCAGATCTCTGGACACTCCTGGCCATCTGCTCATAATGAAGAATAGGGACTGAGACAAGCAGATTGGAAGACCAAGTGAGTGCGGGGCACACGTGGACTCACAGCTAAGCTGGTGGCTGATGGGAACTCCATGGTGCCAGTGTTGTTAAATCTTTCTTCTTGGGCTAGCTGGGTTCCACAGGGGCCTTCAGTTTCATGCCTGGAAGATTCTAGAATCTACACATAAGGGTGAGGGATGGTGGCTCTCTTCATTTAGTATTCATTATGTGTAGCCACCTAATCCCATTTGCCACCATACACCCTACCAAGCATGGCTTCCCTCCTGGCTGTGCAGTGGTGTCAAGGGAGAGACACAAGTGCCTGAGAACTTTCCAAGCAGCTTCCACACCAGCAGGCTCCGTGTCTCACCTCCACCCTCAGCCTGGCCTGTTGGGACCCAGTGCAGTCAGTGCCTCTGGAAGCTTCTACAGGTAAATCCAGTTATTTCCTGGGCTTCAGGATTGGTGTCCATGGGCTCTTCCCTTAATTCCCACCTTCTGGAACATTTAACTGCCTCTTTTATGGGAGATTTGAGGATAAAACTTAGATGATGCATTTAGTTCACCTTAACCCAGGTTTTAACCCTTGTTTTATGTATACTTTTCATGTTTATCCATGTAACAAAACCAAAGTTTCAAAAGTCAAACACCACTCTAGGACAACAGCATGGGATGCTGCCTGATTAATAAGTTGTTGAATAAAGCCAATTAAGATCTTTATAATTTACTTAGTTCAATTTTGGCTTTTCTGCCATGTGTTTGTTGCTGTATATACGTGCACACACACTGGGTTCCCACTATGTAGCCAGTGACAGAAAAATTCTGGAGTCAGAGGGCTCCTCGTCCTCCTCCTCCTGGGTCCCCATGGCCTGAACAATGTGCACATTTGCCTGCACGTGACCTTTACAGGAAAGCAGTCCCCATGCACCTGTGGCTGAGGGCAGTAGCCACTGTGGCCCAGCCCAGAGCCATAGCTACCCCCATCTCCCTTCTGTTTCCTTTTTGTACAAAGCCATTATTCAGAAGGGTGGCCCCTTACTCTGCTGTCAAACCTGAATGTACACACGCAATCCAGGAACAAAGGCTGTAGGGCCCCCTGCCACTGGCCCCAGGAGTCAGTTTCAACACAGAAGCTCAGGGTCCAAGGGGCCTTCATAGGACTGCAGTAAAGGATTGGGCACAGTGGAGATTCCCAGGCCTACTTGCACCTGGGGACAGTGAGGCACACACAGAAGGGGCAGCCATGGGGCCCCCATGGGGCCCCAGGAGTGTCTGCAGGTGGCTAGGAGCCTGCCAGATGCTGGTAGAAGTAGAGGCCGAAGAGGCTGGAGAGCAGCTGGCAGGCGGCAGTCCACCAGATGAGAAAGGCCAGGACACCGCGGAGGAAGAGGGGAGTAAGCAGGCCGCCCAGGGCCCCAGTGATCCGGGCCGCTGCCTGCTGGGCCTCGTCCTCCTTGGGGCCCACCGGGCCATGGCGGGCTGCTGCCAGCACTGGAGATAGTGAGAGGGCAGGCCCCAGGCCCCAGGAGTAGCCACCTGTGAAGAGAGAGGGAGGGGTGGAGGCAGAGAGAGGCGGGTAAAGGGGGCCGAGGCCAGGGCTGCCTCAGGGACGTCCAGCCCGCCCAGAACTCCCAGCTTACCCCCACCCCAAGAGGCAACTCCCTCTCACCAAGTGTTTTGAGCAGCAGTGTGCAATTGAGGGTGAGGATGAGCGGCGTCAGGTACTGCAGGCTTACCACCGTCACATAGCAGTAGACCCGTACCACCTGGTGGGCAGGTAGCAGTGGCAGGTGACCCTCTGGACTTGGGCTGACCCCAGGCTGAAAGGACTGGAAGCCCCACCCTGCACCCCAGGCTCCCTCCCTAACAGGCACCCATACCCGCTGCTGGATCTCTCGGGCCTCAATGCAGCCAGCCTCCCGCCGCAGCTGCTCCACGCGGGACTTAGCCAAGCACAGGTAGGCCTGCAGGTGGGGCCGGGTCAATGACAGCCGTAGTAGGCACAGTGCCACTAGCACCCAGAGGCGCAGGGAATTGAAGGCTGAGTCCGACAGCCTGTGTGGAGCAGGGCAGAGGGCTAGTGAGGCCACACCTCCCCTCAGTATCTTCCCACAGGACCCACAGCTCTCTTAACAACTCCCTGAGCCTAGGAGATTGGAATACACCTTCCCTTCCAGCCCCACTCCCATACGCACAAGGAGAAGTGTGCCTCCCCAAAGGGCAACTGGTGCAGGAAGTCCCGTGCAATGGGCCGGGTCCAGAGCCACAGGATGAATAGGGGGGACAGGAAGCTGGTGTGCAGGAGGAACCTGGGAGCAAGAGCACATCAAGGTGAGGCCTGAGCACCCACCATGTCCCCAGCCTCTCCCCTAGGCTCCCCAATCTCCCACCCACCTGACCCTCCACTTAACTGCAGCATGGGCTGGTCTTCTGACATGGTCAGTGCATCCCGGTGGGTCTGGGCCAGCCGCAGGCCTGGGAAGGTGAGGAAGGCACCCAGCATGGAGCCCAGGACTGCTAGCCCCACACGGATGGCCAGCTTGGCCAGAGGAAACCTGAGGAGAAGAGACAGATCAGGGTCCCCAAGGCCTGTCAGCACCTTGCCTGCAGGTCACAGCCTGCCCCTGCCCCCTCTCCCTTCCCAGGACTCACGCCCAGTCCCAGCCCTGTGTCTTCAGAATTGGCTCCAAGTTCTGGGTCATACTGGCCAGGCCTGGAGAAGACAGGGAGAAGGGTGGGGTAGAGTAGACTCCTGGGAGCTCAGAGCCTACTTAGCCCCTCTCCTAGATGTCCTCTGCTCCCCACGTAGGAACGTACTAGCGGCAGCCATGCCCTGTGCCAGGCATAAGGACCACTTTGTGCTCTGATCACATGAAGCTCTTTTCAAAGAATAGGAGAATGTTCTGGGCAGGCCTTTGATTGGACTGGAGGACAAGGTGGGGGGATGGGGGGGGCACTGAATCCGAGCTTACTGAATTACACCAGGAGCTGGGGGCATGAAGTGTTCCTGCAGAAGAAAACTAAAGTCCTGAGACAAACCCTCAGGTCAGGCCTCCAGATTTTCCACAGAGAAAAGTAAATATAAACTCACAACCAAAATCACCAAACATACAAGGAAACAAATCACTATAAAGGAGAGTCAGCATTAAAAAAAAACCCCAAAATTTAGACCCTAGGGACTTCAGAAACTGGCATTATTATATGTGAAATGATTGAGGAAAATAAAAGCTAGAATCAGAATAGGTGACATGAGACTACCTCAGATGACCAGGTAGATTTGCAAAGGAACCCGTTAGGCTCTTCTAAAAGGAAAATACGATTATTGAAACGATAGGTTGTTAAACAGGATACCAAAAACAGCCAAGAAGGAATTCATGAATTGGATCTGAAGAAATCACTCAGATTCCAACTCAGAAAGACAAGAAGGTGAAGAATATGAAGA